CTCTCTCTCTCTCTCTCTCTCTCTCTCTCTCTCTCTCTCTCTCTCTCACTGCTCTTCACACCAACAACCAAACAGCTCACCAGACATGCTGGTCCCAATCCTCTCAGCCTCAGAAGGCTCACAGGGGTAGAATGAGGGAGGAGAGAACCCTGAGGGAAAGGAATTGAGCTTTCCAGAGACCTGCTGGGGGAGGCCTTGAACATACAGCCAACTCTCCCCAAACACATCTTGGTGCTCTCTGGAAAACACAGGCATGTTTCCTATACTTTTTGCCCCCATAAGGCCATCCTAAGGCTAGCTCATCCACTGGGGCCATCACTAACCTGGTATATCTCCCCTTCTTTTCTTCAGGGCCGGGATTGCAACATGCCCATCAACACATGCATCCAGAATCCCTGTCAGCATGGAGGGACCTGCCACCTCAGCGAAACCAACAGGAATGGATTCAGGTAGCAGGAGCTCCTAAGGTGCTCTCCCTATCTACCAAAGGGGTCTCAGACTTCAGCAAGAAAGCTTTAAGTTAGAATTCCCTGGGATCCAAACAGGCAACTGAAGGAGGTGATTGTGCCTGCCTGAAGACATCAGGATGACCTCCCAAGGTCCTTCCCATCTTGCCTTGTGCCAGTCAGAGTGTGGGTGACAGAGCATGATTGAGGATTGAAGTCGCACCTGTCCTGGGCTTAGCCCAGAATTCCCCTAGACCTCACTCAGATCCACCTCAGCTTTTCCTCCCATAGAGACTGGCTGAGTATCTATGATCATCCTCTCTGCTCTTCTCTTTACCTCATAATCAATTAACAAATCAGTAAACATTTAATAAGTACATACTATGTGCCAAGCATCGTGCTAAGTGCTTGGAATCCTCTACTCTAACTCAGTGGCCTAAAGCATTAAGACCAAGATTTAGGAGGATGAGACCATTTGAACCTGGGGGAGAGGGGTTGCCCCAACCAAGGGGCTCAGCTCCTACCTCTCCCAGACCCTTGGGCACCCTGTCCAGCAGGCCCAGGCTCTGCCACAGAGAGCATTTTGAGGGCCCTGTTTTATGAAGCTATGGACTCAGAAGGCAGAAGCCTCAGTAAGGGGCACAGACTAGGGGTTCTGAAATTTGAACCTATCAAGAGAGTGGAAATTCAACCCACAACTGCCCCAGAAGGCCTGAGACTAGTTTGCCAGCAGGCAGAGGAGGGGGCGTAGAGGCAGTTTGATGTCAAATTCTCTGAAACCATCACAGCCAAAAGGGAAAAATAAGTGACTATCAGAGGCATTATGGGAAGAGGCCCTCTTAGCCAGTCTACTGTGTGGTCTGTGAAAGAAATTATCTTCCCTCTGTTCCTCTCCCTGGAGGGCCGAGCCTATACATACATTTGCTTGCCAAGCCTGTCAAATCTTTACTCTTGTAAACTGAAACTTAAGCTGAGGTTAGTTTTCCTGCCTGAGAAATGCCAAGCCACCCACTGCCTGGTGCAGGGGCTCACAGATAGGCAGTGAATGAGGGTGAAAGGAGACCACATGGAAATCATAGGGAGGTGGTGACATGGACAGGCCAGAGGCAGGAAATGCACCTCAAGGGCTGAAACCTCATCCTTAGGCCCTGCACCCACCCAAGGGATCCACGGGTGAGCAAAAGTTTGCTTTGCAGTGTGGGGGACTCCATTTCCCATGTTTGGCTCTCATACCTAGCCAGTTAGGTGAAAACTTAGCTGGGTGGTATGGTACAGGGGGTCTTGGTTCCATCCCCAATAGTTGAGGGACTTAAGTTCATTTTTCTAACTTAGAAACAACTTTTGGAGCTGTTTTGTGGGTATGCGTGTGCTTGATTTTTCTTAAGGAAAAGTCCCAGATATAGCAAGACTAGAATTTGGTAGATTCTTATTCCATGTTTCTGAGATAGACTCAGATTTCCACCGAGTGTAAACCATTTATTTTTGTTAGCCAGAGTTAGAAAGCATCTCCCTCATGGGGCAAAAAGTCATTTAGTGAGGGCCCTGGGGTAGGGAGACTAACAATGCTTATACTTTTCAAGGTGGGCATTGGAGGTGGGGTGGGGCCAGAGTGACAGTGAGCAACAAAGTCCTGAGCCTCTGGACCCACTGCCCAAGCATCATGGTGACGTGCTTGCTCAGCTGTGGGGAGGATATTACAGTTTGGCCCCGGGTATAAGATAACTCTCTTTCTTTAGGTCAGGAGAATATCGGGGGGAGGGGGGGAATGGTGCTGGTCAAGGGGAGCTTCCTGGATTGTCTTAGAAATATCTAGATATTTTGAATTAAAGGTTCCCCAATAGGTTATATTCTTTCAACCAATCAGTTCATAAAGCACTGGATTTGGAATGAGAAGAGCTGACTTCGAATCCCAGCTCTGCTGCTCACTACCTGTGTGCCCCTGGGCACAGTCACTTCACCTATCTGGGCTTCAGTTTTCTCATCTGTAAAATGGGGGGGGGACTAGTGTCAAATTCAAATAGAAATGGGGGCCATCAAATCATAAGGATCCCTGTGGCCTACATATCTACTTAGAAAAGTACATATTAATATTATTTGTATTCTATTGTATTTTTATTTGTTTTGTTAAATACTTCCCTATTAGATTTTAATCTGATTTGGGCCCCTCAGGAGTGCTGGGGAAGGCAGGTAACCTGTAGGCAGCATGCTTGACCCTCTGGACTTCCTTCCAGCTCTTAATACATGAACCAGCGCTTAAGAGGGCGATCTCTAAGCCTGATGCCATTAGCATGACCCCCTCTCTCTGAGGCTCACTGGGATTCCCTTCAGGGAAGGAAATTCTCCACACACTCACACATTCCTGCCCCCATGGACACACACACACAGCCCAATCAGCAATACACTGCTTCTCTCTACTTTGCAGCTCTCTCTACTACCTATCTCCCCCACCCCACCCCAGCTCCACCCCCAAGCAATCATAAGAACTTAAATAAATATTAAATAAAAATAAGTTAATAACTTTGAATAAGTCCTCCTGAAAGGCAAGACTTTCTACCTAGCCCAGCTGCAAGACCTTTTTTTTTTTTCCCTCTAAAGCCTCCTGTCTGACCCATGGCCCATGACCAAGCAGGTGATTTGTGGGAAGAGAGAATGTGGACAGGGAGAGGCAGGGGCACTTTTGCATGACAGGCCTATGTACGTTCAGACTGAACATCCCCTGCTGTGGTAGCAAGAATGTAGTATGTCCAAGGGCAGAAGAGGGTCAGCATCCGGGCAAAGATCAGTGGCAGCATGGTATAATACAAAAGGTGCTAAGACTTTGGTTCAAAGCCTGGGTCCATGTAACCTTGGGCAGGTCACTTAGGATCCTAGATCTAGAATGGAGAGGCATCTGTAGAGGTCATTGTGTCCATCCTCTTCGTTTTATAGGTGAGGAAAATGAGGCCTACAGAGTTCAAGTGACGTATTCATGGTTGCACAAGTAGTAAGTGGATCTGAATTGTCATGATAGCCTTTGTCTCTAAAGCTCTTCCCCACTGGTCTGTGCTGGCTCCGTCTCTCACTTTATTTCCCAGAGCCTAATTCCTCATTGTTAAAATGAGGCAGTTGGACTAGATGATTTCTAAGGTCCCTTTCAACCCTAAATTTATGATCCTGTGCATTTCAGGAGTCAGCCCAAGTTGTCTAGTTTTCATTTCTCCCAATTTTGTTAACTGACTCCTAAGTCAGTTCAGCATGCCTGAATAGGGAGAGCCAGGGTGCCACATTTCATCTCCAAACACATTTTTATGGACAAGGTATAAATCTTAAATGTATAGACTTAGAGTCTGGACGTGGCAATGGTGACTAGCTGACTACACTGATTATTTATAAATGAGGGAGGCCTTCTCCCCATTACTTGAGCCATAGCTCTCCACGTCCCCAGGGCTGCTAGACCCAATTGCTCTGCCTTATCTCATTCCTATGATCCCAGGGAGGAGAGCAAGGTCAGGCAAAGGACAGGTCATTGGTTGTTAGGATTTTTTTTTTAATTTTAAGATTATTACTAAGATAGAGACAAGTAAAGAAAATATTTTGCTCTGATTAATGATGGTTTAAGCTCGGTGAGTTCTTGGTTCCTGGCTCCATAGCTATCCTCCCTCCTCATCTTCTTGACATTACAGACACTGAAGAGAGCTCAGAAGTAAGCAAGGACAATAAATTATAAAGTGTGAACATGGCATGTCTGAAGCATAATTAAAGGAGGGGTAGGAGAAATTGAGTCTAGAAAGGCAACAAAGAAATTGTCTGGAAGCATCGGAGCTACTCGAAAGAGGCAAGGGATTAGTTGTTCTCTCACTCCGCAAAGGACAGAACTCAAAGACCAGGGAAGGAGAATCCAAATGCAGCGGTGGGGGGGCATTTAAGTTAGACCTAAGAAAGAACTTACTGCTAAGTGAAGACCCAGAGAAGGCTCCCAAGGGCAGTTCTGGGAGCTCCACCCTTGGGTATCCATGAGAATAGAAAAGGCAACCAGAAGTTTGGGGAAGTGAGAGAGATGAAGTCTTGCCCATGAGATCTTCCAGTTAGAGCTAGAAAGGACCTTTGAGGTCACCTAGTCCAATCCCTTATTTAATAGATTAGGGAAATAAGGTCTAGAAACATAGAATAATTTACTCCATAGGCAGTAAATGACAGCATCAGGTCCTCTGACTCCACATCCAGTACACCTTCCACTGAACCACACTGCCCTCTCATCAAGAAGCTGATGTAGATGACTTCTCCAAATCTCTCTCGGGCCAAAGTGGTCCTGAATGGAGGATTCTCCCAAGCAGCCTCTAGTGGCTCTAGGGGAACAGGGTTCCCCCACAAGAAGGTGATTTGCTGTGTCTCCTTGTCCAAACCAGATACTGTTCCCTCTGGGAACCTTGAAGGGCAGGGTGAGAAGCCTTTCTAACCATCTCTGCTCCCCTCTCTGTTCCTCTTGTGACCCCCTTCTCCCTCTAACTTCCTCCCCTTCTCTCTCCCTTCCAAAGCTGTTCCTGCCCTCTGGGCTTCGAGGGGGAACGATGCGAGATCAATCCAGATGACTGTGAGGACAATGACTGTGAGAATAACGCTACCTGTGTGGACGGGATCAACAATTATGTGTGTGTGTGCCCACCCAACTACACAGGTACGGGGAGGCAGAGAGGGATGGGGTCCCACTTACATGCCCTCGGACTCCGCCATCTGCCCTATTGCCCTTCTCTTCCAAGTCCTTCCATTCGTGTCAGTCCCCAACAGCAGAATCACAGACTCCTCGCTGCCTTGAAGTGGGTTTTTGACCAACCAGTGGGCTGTTTATTTAACTGATGACTACTCTGTTCACTGTGGGCTGTTGCCCTTCCCAATGGTGTTCGCGCCTGGCAAAGTGATCACTTATGCTGTGTTTGCCTTCTGTTCCCAAAGCTAATTGCTTTTTTTCCCCCTCCAAACACACCTATTTGATATATTAACAGCTTCTAATGAGGACAGTTAAATAAGCCATTAGATTGAGAAATGAAGTGTCACTAGTCACCACAGGCATAACCTGGGAGTTAACAGCTCATCAGTGGACCTCTGCCAGTTCAGTTCAAGTCAACAAACATTTATTAAGTGTAAGCCTATGTGCTAGGCACTGAGGAGAGGCAGAGATGAATCAGGCATAGTCCCTGACCTGAAGGTGCTTGCAATCCACTTCCATGGAGAGATGAGATGGGTACACCAATAATCGTCATGCAAAAGTTAACATGAGTACACCAAGATGCCGTGGCACAGTAAGGTTAGGAGGGATGGTGTTAGACACTGGCTCCTCCCTCTCCAACCCTCATGCCTTCCTTTTTCACTTTCTTGCTCAGAGGACTAAAATTAATTCAGTTGCTACTGGAAAAACCACACCAACCTACCACCTGTGGCTCCACTCATAGTCCCTCTAACTGCCTACACCAAGGGTTCTTAACTTTTTTTGTGACAGTAATCTGGTGGGGCCTGTGGACCCTTTCTTGGAACAATATTTTCAAATGCATAAAATAAAATGCATAAGATTACAAAGGAAACCAATCACAATGAAATACAGTCATATACATAATATACATACGTATACACACACACACACATATATATATATACACATAAACATACATACATCTATATGTATATATATTCCTGAGTTCAAATCTGGCCTCAGACACTAACTGTGTGACCCTGGGCATGTCAGTTAACCTTGTTGGCCTCAGTTTCCTCATCTGTAAAATGAGGTGGGAAAGGAAATGGCAAGCCACTTCAGTATCTCTGCCAAGAAAACCCTAAAGGGAGTCACAAAGAGTCAAACACAACTGGAAATTATATGTACATACACATACACACATACATATATATAAATAAAAAATACAGACCCACAAACCCCAGGTTAAGAACCCTGGCCTAGACCAATGCTCCCTTCCCTGGCTACCACTCCCCAGTACTCCTTCTCATTGAATGTAAGGTGCTTGAGGGTACGTCTGTCTCGTTTTTGAATTGGTATCCCCAGTACTTGCCACATAGTGATTGACTGTGATTTAAAATAAAATTCCCAAGAACTAGTTTCCAGGCTACTGTGTGTGTCCTTTGCTAAGAGTCACAGGTCAAAGCAAGAGTCGTTGGGTCTAAGACTATGAAGTCTAGTCTGTGTTTAGCTTTTCTGCTCCCATACGGACAAGTGAGAGCCACTGCTGCTCAGTGTAGAGAGAGCAGGCCGCAGCATCAGGAAGACTGAGGTTCATGTCCAACTTCTGACATGTGTTGGCTGTGTGACCGGACAAGTCATTTCACCTCCTAGTGGCCTGGGCAACTTTCTAAGGCTGTAAATTGCAGAGCAGTTGACAACTTACATTGCTAAAAGGAGTTTCCTCACCTAGAGTTCCCCATACCAATTAAATCTCAGGTCCAGAAAAAAAAAAAGACAAAAAATGAATAAATACCAGTATTGTGACTAAATGAGACTTGCCCACATGTATGGAGGACATGGGTATCTTTCTTCCATGAGATATATGGGGAAACTGAGGGCTGGGAGTAGAATGAGCCCAAGAGAGAGAAAACTGGTTTTCAGATTGTCGTTATCTTATTTTGAAGCCCGGTGACTCAGTCTCTCTGCCTAAAGTCCCATAGCTCAAGATAGCCAGGGCTTGTCTCTTCCTGATTGACATTCCCCTGTGGCATCCTGACATTTCTGTTCTGTATCATCTTCCAGGAGAGTTGTGTGACGAAGTGATTGACCACTGCATCCCTGGGATAAACCTGTGCCAGCACGAGGCCAAGTGTATCTCCCTGGACAAAGGATTCAGGTAACACCCAGGCTCCCAGAACACGTGCCCTGATACCTGGGGCTCTGCAGCCTGGAGCTCAGTGCAATTGAGGAGTCAGGAGTGTGAGTGTATCCCTATGATGTGTATGCCTATGGTATCCATGATTATGGTTTTGTGAATTGTGTATGTGTCTGTACAAGTGTCATTGTGTGTATGAATGCATGTGTCTGTGTGGGTGGGGTTTTGCTCCCGTGTAGATATGTGTACTTACATGTGCCTGATGTGTTTAGATATCTGGCATATGTGTTGCTGTTATTTCAACAAATGTGTATCTATAGAGATATGTGATGTTCACGTGTATGTATGTCTGTGTGGTGGTCTCTGTGTGTTTATGAGTTGTGCCTGTGTGTTTGCCTATTCAGGCATGAATAGGCATGGAGAAGCCATGAGCTCAGTAGGCAAATGCCATTGTTTTTCCTTCCCTGGAGAAAAACACATGAGAGGGGTGACCAATAGACCACAAGCACCTCTGTGTGGGAAAATGCACGATTCTGCTCAGATGCATGCATGTGGGCATGGGGGCACATGCATATTCATTGACTTTCTCTCTTCCTGGGCTGGTTTTATTTTATGGAAGCAAGGGGTTGCTGTTGGAAGGGAGAGAGACAGAAAGACCTAATAAGAGCCAAAGGGTATTTTGGTAACTTTTCCTTTGTGCTGTAATTGCTCTCCTTTTCCTGCTGTTCCTGTCACAAGTGTGCCAGTGTGAGTGTGCATGTATGTGCTGGGGAGGGGTCGGGTTCTTTGGCTCAGTTCCCCAACCCATTCCTATTGGTGGACCTGTCTCCACGGTGAGTAGCAGAGCCAATAGAAGCCAGAGAGTGCTATTCTGTGCCAACACCAAGAGCACAGGGGCTGAGCCAAGTGGAAGAAGCCGCCATGAAGTGGCTGGCATCACTCAGAGGCTATTCCTAAGGGCCCTGTCCCTCCCTCTATCCTTCAAGCCTATAGTTTGTTACTGGTATAGGTCCATTACTAGGCACCTCTTGAAACCCTCAGGTAACCCAGAGATCCAGGGCTTGCCAGTGCATCTGGGGGGGACCACCCAGAGCCTCTTGGCCAAGAGTTCACTTTCTTATTTAACAAATGGGGCCTGCAAAGACATAGTTTTTCTTGTCTCCTGCAAAGAGAGGCAAAAAGCCAGCTTTGGAGAGCCAGTGTTTAGGTGGAGCTGAGAAACCAATATAGGCAGCCTAGGGGAGTCCCTTCTTCAGACGGGGCCCATGGCAAAGGCATCTGGGACCATCAGTTGTGATGAGCACTAGACACTGGATTCAGTGGACCCTGACTCTGTGCAGCTTTATTAGAATTTGTCCTCCGTCACAGGCAGACTCTGGAAGGGTCCTTGCCCAAAGAATGAGCAAGTGGTACCCAGCCAATATTGCATCATTCAGTCAATGATTCAATATATAATTCACTGTGTTAGCTGCTGTGGGAGAAATAAAGATATATAAGACTCAGTTGCTGCTCTGAAAGAAGTTATAGTCTAATTGGGAAAATAGATTAGCGTCAACTAAAACAAATCTAGGAAAAATTTATGGGTAATAACTATATTATTATCTGTTTTACAGTTGAGGAAACTGAGTCAGAATAATCATAATAGTCGACATTTAGGAGGATTTTTATATGAAACATCATTTGAGCCTCACAACAACCTTGTGAGATATGTATATTATTCCCATTTTACAGTTCAGGAAACCGAGACTCAAAAAAATTAGATGACTTTCCCATAGCCACATAGATATTCAAATCAGAGACAAGGTTCAAATCCAGATCTCTGTTGATTCCAAGTACAAAACTCTTTCTACCTATCATACTACCTAGAGGGGAAAGGGAATAGCATTGATATAACACGTCCTGTATGCCAAGCACTGTACTAAATGCTTTACAAATATTATCTTATTTGATCCTCACAACAACCCTACTAGGTAGGTGCTTTTATTATCCCCATTTTATAGTTGAGGAAACTGAGACAGACAGAGGTTAAGTGACTTGCCCCAGGTCACACAGCTACTTGATGTCTGAGTCCAAATTTGAACTCAGGTCTTCTCAACTCTAGACCCAGCTCTCTGATCACTGCACCACCTAACCAGATAGGTGTTGAATATGATATGAGTTCAGAAAGGGGCAGGATCAGAATGAGCTAGCATCATTAGGGACAGCTTTAAGACTGAGGTGGAACCCCAACTCAGCCTGGAAGAAGTTGAATAGTAAGGGAGTCCTGCTTCCCCATTCAAAGCAAGAACGACAGAACGAAGAAGGAGACATTAAAAGAAAGCCACGTGCTCCCTTTGTCCTGAAACCACTAGCCTCCCATCTCTGGGAAGTCTCTGGAGGGCTCCCTCCCGCGTCTCCTCCTCCCTTGTACACGGACTGTGCTTATTTTTCTTAGATTTTCAAATAGAATGCAGCTGGTGAGAGGAGAGAGTGGTTTACAAACGTGGGACACACTCCAGCCAGATCAGCACTGTGCTTGTGCATGTGTCTGCATTCATTCATTCATTCTGGGATGTGCATGTATATTTGTGTTTGTGAGTGTGTGTATTTATGTACACCAACCTGAATCTGTTCTGAAGGGTGTAACTCCCACTTCTCAGCTAGGAAGAAGCAGAGATGAGTCTTTGACCAAGTCCAGGGATGCCAAGTTTCATCCTGGAGCACATTTTTATGGGCAAGTTGTAAACATCTACACACAGGGATAATAATGGAAATGCTGCCAAAGACAGTTTCATTCTCTGTCTGTCTCTCTGTCTCTGTCTGTCTCTGTCTCTCTCTCTGTCTCTCTCTATATCTCTCTCTGTCTCTCTCTCTCTCTGTCTCTCTATCTGTCTCTCTCTGTGTCTCTCTCTCCTTCTCCCTCCCTCTCTCTCCCTTCCTTCCCTTTCTCTTTCTCTCTCCTCCTTCCCCTCCAGAGACAATCAAAAAGACCAATGTCTATAGTTTGGGGAGCGTCCCTGTCTTCTTTCCTAGGGAACAAGCACCCTCTGACGGAAGACAGGAGTACTACTTGGACATCACTGTGTCCAGGAGTCCCATAGAGGACACAGAGAAATCAAGACAAGTGGCCTGCCCCCTGGGGAATGTAGACCCTAACTGAGAGCCAGGACAGCCCCCTGGAGCTGTGTAAGCACACAGCAACTTGCAAAGGACCCTCTTGCTCACAGAGTGCAAGGGGAGGCATGGAATGGAGGAAATGGCTTTGCCATCCAAAGCTTTTGCTGCTCTGGCTAAAGAACAAAAGGGCTCCTGAGGCTGGATGTTAGGTTTCCTTCCTCCTCTGTTGCCCATCTTCAGTCTCAAAAGACAGACTATGATGCAGCCTTCAGGTAGCCCTGCCTGCCCCGATCCTGAACAGCCTCTGTGACAAGAGTCGGCTCTCTGATGGAGTAATCCACAGGCCCAGGTGGCTGGGGCGGGGGGGGGGGGGGGGGGGGGGGGGGGGGGGGGGGGGGGGA